GAGAGGAGAGCCGACAGAGCAGACGCCATGCCCCCCGCCCCCCCCCCCGGGTCAGCGGGACCGGCACAGTCAGATCATTAAGACCAGCGGGGCGTGAGAGTGAATGAGGGGGCTGAGGAGCGAGCGTGAAGCCGGTGTCTCCTGTTACACCTTAGAGACCTAGCGGGCTAAAAATAGGAGGAGGAGGAGGAGGAGGACAACCCTGAGAGCGCATCAACACATAAACCAGGGCCCGTATTAATAAACGCGGTGACTCACGGCCACTGCGAATGGCATGGAAAAGACGGCCGCAGATCAGCTTTTCTGATGACGGCCGCAGAATGAAATTAGCCCCCGAGGCGGGAGGGCCCAGGTGGACCCAGGGAGCCCTCACCCAGACAGACTGTAGTGAGCTGTAGACGGGCCGGGCATTTGACCCGGTAGCTTAAGCTAACCAGCCCAAAACGGCGCCCTCACCCCTCCAAACATCAGCCTGGGTGTGTGGGGGGAAAAGGCCAGGCCTGGCTGAGACCCGATGGCCAACCAGACTCCTCTCTGAGATCTTAAAACTAAATCTAAATAGCAGGAAAAGGGAAAAGCAGACCATTCTGTACCTTCAAATCTTCCCTCAAACTTCCTTTTGGAAATGGAAAAAATCTCCCGATTATATACATATTAAAAAGAAAAGAATAGGACACAAGAGCAGAAAAGTGAGATTCAAAGTGAGCTCTTTTTCCAGTTAACGGGCCCATCCAGCTGGGAGTAATGTAATCTAAACCACAGATTCCTGCCGTAAATCCTCCATTCATGACAGTCGAAAGGGAGACGTCAACTCACTTTAGAACACGCCGCTCTCGTTATTCCACTTCGAAGGTAAAACGACAACAAAAAACACCCTGGAGGTTTAATCACAACCCAACATCTACCTGTAGGGTCAATGGCCTGAAATCAGACCGGCACAATATGTGCTGCAAAGGCCCTCGAATGCCCCGGAGTAACTCAATCTAACCCGTTAAAGACGCTAACGGCCGGTTATTCCAAACCCGCGCCTTGGTCCTTGAAAAAAGCCAAACAGCTGGTTTAGGGGGGGGATCGGGTGCCGGTAACACAAACCGCCGTCACATGGACCTGACGTTTATTTGTGTTTAAATATAGAGAAAGTGATTTATATAAAAGTCGGCGGAAAAACTCAAGCTGGGCGAGTGAAAAAGGAGAGCGGGGGGGGGGGGGATAGTTAGCACCGTCTCACGCATCTCCCCGGGAACCCGACCACAGACGTCACGCTGGAAAATGTGCTGAGGACGGGTTTCGGTCCACAATCCTGTTTTCTGTTTACACGCCTGTAAACATCATCTCCATGGTGCCAC